TGGAGGATGCAGAAGGCAGCTGAGGATTAAGCAGCAGCCTACTTACCAGGCAGTGGCTGTGGCATAAGGTGAACAGCCCCAAAGAAAAGGCTGTACGGTGGATAGCCAACGTCAGGGGCCAGATGGAGGATCTGGCTGAAGTTTGGAGGGTTAGCTGCGCTACTAGGAGCTAGGGTAGGAATCCTGAATAGTAAGTAATGAGAGACAACTGAGCTTCCTGACACAATCATTGTGTGTTACTCATGCTGAGAGAATAAGCCATAAATTGTGAACATTTAAGCAGTGAATAGAGTGAGACAAAATGAGCTACACTTCAACTGGGATCCAGCAGAGGTTATGGGGATCAGATTTCTGCTCCTTGGTTCCATGAGTGAGTTTGAACTTTAAATTGATTATTTGTACAAGAGAGACTTAATTCAGAACAGACTTTTATATTTTAATTGACAATGTTAATCCTCACCCTGCCCAAACTGTGCCTCCAACCAACTGGAATAGGTGCCCTAGAACACAATGAGATTAGTCAAACAGCTATATTTTTATAATTAAATTTTGAGGTGAGGCCCATTGGGCTTCATCATGTACATTTTCAAACTCCAATATATGTACAGAAGCTAGTAGATGAATTCTTTTAAAAAGAGAGAAAAGAGAAAAACAGTCAAGTAAAGACTTTTTCAAACTATAGTAGACACCTTCACGTTTTGATTGTTCACAATTCCTCCAACTGCCCTAAATAACACTCTGTTTGATCATCTTCTTCCTAAGAAGCCTTTTTCTCCAATCTACAACTAGCTAGCTTTATTGATTCTTCCACATTCAGAGTAGATATTAGCATATCTAAATCTCATTAAGGAGTTTATAGAACTTTCTCTAAAGGAAATAGGTAACGAAACAACATTCAATTAGTTTGTACTCAAGTTGACAATAGAAGATGTAAATGAAACAACTAGAAAACAAGGTAGATCATGGTGCTTTCCCTCATAAATGTGTTCATTAGATAAAGAATTTTGGAAAGAAGGATCTGTTTTGTAATCAGAAAAACAAAAACTGATTTACCAATTTGAATTGAAAAGTAGGTAAAGAATTTCAGTATTTACTCACGTATTCATTCAAACATAAAAGGGAACTGATTACCACCTCCACCACAACAACCATGTGTTATATGTGTACAAGGTTAGATCAAAGTGGTAGCTAAGAATATTACATTCTGCAGTTGTTCAAGGATGACAGTTGAGAAAGTTTGATGACAGAGGATAAAAATAACACTTGTTTGGGCATAAATGGCAGGTTTTTTTTTTCAATGAAATATGTGAATGTTTCCCCTTTTACCTACAACCCCAGAAACCTACGAAAATAATTTTGCAACATTAAGTTCACTACCTCATCAAATTATAATTATTCTTATTTTCTGAAATGAAAAAATAACTATGTTATAAACACGAGAACAAATTGAGGCAATGATAATATATTAAGTAACTATTGGGTTTAATTCAATTATTAGCTTTGCTGCACAGTAAATAATATGCATAACCTCTGTTCAAGTATTTTTTTCCACAGTTGTAAAACAAAGCCTTTGACAGGAGTTAGTTAACAGCAATTTAGAGCTGCCTCTAAATTGCAGAAATAAAAATGCTCACAATTTGAATGTGCTTTGTTGACAAAGAGACTATGGCCTATTTATTTTATTTTTTTAAGTGGAATCTTCAGCTCCCCGACTGACAGTCAGTTACAAAGAGAGGAAGGCACCTTAAAGTTTCCTCTGGAGGGTATATCACTGCACTCCAGTATCAGCAGTGGGTAGAAACCATGTGCTCTATCATACTTTGACCTTTATACTTCAAGCCAAGAGAATCCTGACCAAGGTCAGTTTTTCTATCCACGCAGTGTGCACTTTGCATAGATGCAAAAAATTTTTTTTCACAGAATTTGTTCTGTGGATTTCGTTTATGTTTGAATGAAATATGTTTCTTTTTATGCTGGTGACTTTGCAAGAAAACCAGGCCAGGAGAGGCATTTCCTCAAAGGCCTAAAGGAGACATTACCACCACCACCACTACTTGCCAAGGGATTTATAAAGCATCTTGAGGCTCAAGGTTAGTATGGGAGATGAGCCAGGCTCAGGAGAAGTTAACACAAAGATAAAGGTTAGTGTTTTCCCCCGTTTTAGTTAGCCAATACAACAAAGTACTTAGATAGTAACCCCTAGTGGTCAGGTAATGATGTCTTTTCTGCAATTATCACATTTGTGTTTGTCTATTTTCTTTATGCTAGTGAGGTTTGGAATTGGAATTGAAAATCCTCTAGGGAAAAGCTATTTTTGTAATTCAGCTGGGGTGTCCTTGTCTTTGGGTTTTCCCATTGCATCAGTCCCTTAGCCTGGCAGGATAGCCATGATAGTGCTTTGTCTTTTAGATGAAATGCAGAACTAAGGACATGACTACTGGTGCTTATTAAAGATTCCTTGCTATTTTTCACAAGAGTAGGGGCGTTAGACTCTTGTCTACTGGCCAAATTCTAAATTGGGAGATTACATTCTGCTTTCCTAAATTCCCCTAGCAGAAGCAGCCATCCATGATATCCTACTTTGCTTCCTGTGCTAAACTGTTTTGTGATGTCATTAAATGGCTCTGGTTTTTTACTCTAGAAATGATCACTTTAGTGGGGTGGGGAGTAAATTGATACCTATTGTCTGATATTATGTTCAATCTAGTTTGAAAAAAATTAAAAGGTGGGCTGTGATAGTTAAGGACAAAGTACAAAACACCCTAACCTACAAAATACCGTAACGTACCAGTTGTTGTGGTGCTTTTTTAAAAAAACCAATCTGCTTTCTCTTCTGTAACATAGACAAAATATTAATGCATTTTTTTTTTTGCTCCACTAGTAGTTGACAAAGAATTGTTATTTGTTTCAAACATAAGGTTAATTCTAACAGTGATGAAGTTTGAGAGGATGAAATTACATATCACTGACCAATTAAACTATCTCTTTTGTCTTTAGGCTGCACCTAACCATTCCAGACTTTCATTTGTCTATCTCACAAAATCTTTTTGGAAGGAGATTTTTTCATCTTTCCTTGGTAACATATTTCAGTGTCTCTCAATCTTTCCATAAAAACTAAGTTATTATTTCTGTTTAACCTCAGTTGCACCTGCTGGAGTGTAATGTCACTATCTTTTGTCCATCAGTAGCCTTATTATCATATATTGTTAGTGAGAGGCAATATAGTATAATGGCATGGTTTTTGGAATCAGACATGCCGGCATTCCAATCCTAGCTCTGTTACTTTCTAGGTGTGTGATCTTGGGCAAATTACTTCTGAGGTTTAATAGCCTCATCTGTTAATGAGTAACCTCAGAGCATTGTTGTGAAGATAAAATGAGATAATATCTTATTCTGAAGGATTATGGGGTAGGACGAGGTATGGTACTGGGCACCTAAAAAACGTTCAGTACATACTATAATAGCTATTTATCTGATTATGTGCATGTATCTGACTTAATTCATAAACTCTTTGAGAGTGGGAGGCATACTTCCTGCGCACGCCCTGGATTTCAACAGAAGTATAGTGTTGTGCACATAGTATGGTGAAGAGGCTCAATATTACTGAATGAATAAATTGTTTTGTTTTTATTCCCTGAGTGGAATGAACAGCCCCCAGCTATCTGCAAGATCCCACGCATGTAGATAAAAGGTGACAAAAATCAATCTGCAGTTTTAAAATATGCAGATACCTGACTTTATCTAGATGTTCTAGCATGGTGTAGATACAATGCAAATAACTTACGCTTTCTATCAGGTTCATTTTTACAAATTTTAACATTTATTGTCATTATTTTTATTATTAAGCTACACTTAGGCACCTAGAAAGGGACTGACTCATATGCCTCCTCATCCATCCAAGCATTTAATTGAGAAATTTTTAAAATGAATATTAAGAGCTAATTATATACTTAAACAAAATCTTTCAATTTGTGACTAAGTACATTACCTTCCCTATTTATCTCTAAGATCTGAGCACTACAGATAATATTCCTAATTGCTTTTTACCCAAGCCAAGAAATAAAAACCAAAACCAGAAAAGTCCACCACTGCAAGTCCCAAAGCACAATTAATATCTTTGAACCAGTGAAGTATTAGTTAGGACTTTATTTTTGGCTTTTAAATGTTTACAAACGGCTAGGAGGGTAAGTTGGGGGAACAAGTACAAGATACATCGATTCAATCGGACTTGAATATTTCTCCATAAGGAAAGGAAAGAGTACCCTGGTGTGTGCTTAGGCTGGAATTAAAAAGAGCAGCGTGGCCATTTCCCCGACTGCTTTGTACATACTTAACAGGGGCGGTCTCAGGTATGGAGCTTCAGGCACCTGCTCGCTCACACTCCAACAGTTCAGAAACCCGTGTATTTGAGGCCGGGTGGCTCAGGTTCCACGTAACTGGGCTTAAGTGTCATTAATACTACTTGCAGCGGGGGTCACTGAGCTGTGCTTTGGGACCTGGATGCTTACTTCGGACTTTCTCCTTTCTTCCCCCCTGCCCCCACTAGTTTCCCTTTCCCTCCTTCCTTCCCGGGCGTGCCCACCTCTTCCCTTAGCTCCCACTTTCCACTATCTGACTCTTGCTTCCTTCACCTTCCTTTCTAATCGGCTTCCTGGCTTCCATCCTCTGCCGGCCGCAGAGATTGAGATTCGGGCTGGGGCTGGGACTGCGGCTCAGAAGAGGCACGAGTCCGGCGGGACAGGCGCGAGGCGCCCAGCCGCGAAAGTGAGGAGCGCGCACCGAGG